TGAAATTTTATGGGGCCCCATTCTGTACATGGGCCCACCATATTCTAGAAGGTGGGGCCCATAAGCCCCTAGGGTGGCACGCCACCTTTTGAGAGTTGATTAGGTGTTATGGGTGGCACTTCTCTCTCTTTATAGGATTTGTTGATATATTTTATCTAAAATTGGTTTGAATTGATAAAGTGTTTTATGATTTGAGTAAATCTTTTAGAAGGCCTATAAGGCTTATGGATATATATTTTTGTCAGACCCCAAGGTTCTTAAGATTCTCAATGTGCGACTGACTATTCTTATACTCTCTATATATAGAACAAATTTAAATTTCTTCTAGTATATTCGCACTAAAACAAGTTTTTTCTATTTCTTTTAATCTCTACAAAATCTGCTCACAACTGATATTATACATGAAGGCTAGGTATATACATTTCTTGATGGGACAAAAATTACAATAGTGCATTTGATCAAAATTTACAAGAGGAAGGTCAATCATGCCTACAAATTCTTCCAAGATGGTCCTGCTGCAATCGAACGATGAGATTGCAATTACCCTGAAAAAAACATTTACCATAGTTTTATGAGTTGACTACTCAGTAAGTGATCATCATGGTCCTAAAAAATAATCATGGTTGGAAGATATCAGTACTTTCAAATGGAAAATCTATTAAAAAATAATGCGAGCAAAAATAATAATTTTATTAAAAGTTTTATTTTTCAAGACAATGAGGTCACTTACACATAAAATTTATAAAATAAAGATGCTCGACATAAATATCACTATTTTATTAAAAATAGATTATTTTTCAGGAAGATGATGTCCCTTACCTTTATATCTCACTTTGAGATGAGAGAAAATTTAAAAATAGTCAGTTTGATTTTAAATATGACATAGATTACTTATCATATCGCATCATTGAGGCCAGAAAGGTTCTTTGGCTCCGAACATGCTCATGCGTGGACCGAATTTAAAAATTCATCATTAACTGCATGATGCCGTAAGATGGTCATCAAACCGTCCATGCTTAACATAGATGTTCCTCGTCCTTTGGAACCCTTGTCGCCCAATTGAAAGAAGCTTCAGTGAGAGATTACTAATGCTACACCACCAACAATTGACAGAAGCAGCTCAGAGAGTAGGCAGCTCAGCACTTTTCATGGGAGAGCTGCCTACTTTTCTATAAGAAAAAAAACAGAAGAAAAGAATAGGCAGCTCAAAGGACAGACAACTGAGAAGAATGGTTTGATTGTGTGGGTAAAGAGAACGCTCATATTAATGAAAAGAAAAGGTTGCCCAATGTATGAGCAGCAGGCAGAGGTAAGATTGCATTGCAATGAACTGATATTGGGCTTCTTGTATAGACCAGTTGAACACATGAGATAGACCCGTTGACCACATGATAGGAACGATTGGGAAGGGAAAGACATTCACGACCGGTTTGTTATATGTTGAAATATATACCAAACGAATACTAGAGCCCAAGCAGAGCTAATCAACCTATTGGAACTCGATTTTGAATGGGCAAGTGCTAGCCCTAACCCTAACCCTAAAATCAGGCCCTTCAAAGAGTGAGTTTTTCATAGAAGGGGAAACTCCATTACCAAAACAAGAGGTCATTTGCTTAAGAAGAGCAGGCAGGGCCAGTATTAGGTCTAAGGTGAAACCCTTTTTGGTGTGGGTTGATCTAGGCCATGACTGAATCTTGGGGGAAGTCTGTAAGTGGGTTTGCATGGGCTTTTGGGCTTCAAGAATGGGTTGTAAGAAGAGAGAGAGAAATTGGAGTGAGTGGGTGGAGAGTACAAAGTGTCCGTGAACATGCCTTGTATAAAATCATCAAGGACATACATAGAGATAGAGAGTTTCGTTGCTGTTTATGGTGTTAAAGAGTTCCTTCCTCATCTCTCCTGTGGTTCAGGCTTGCCTGCTCGCAGAGCTGTTTCATCTTGATTCCTAGAGAGAGAAAGTGGCTGCCTTCAGATGAACTTTATCTCTATGTCTCACCTGCACACATTATCTGTGGCGAGGATGGATTCGTGAAGGTGGCGATGCGATTTGTTTGTGAAATCTGCTGCCTCTTCCAGAATGGGGAGAAACCAGCAGCCATTCCTCTTCTTGAGCTATGAATTCGTTACTCTAAGAGAGAGGTGGAGAGGGTTAAAATGGGAGGCTAATAAAATTATAGCACCCAATACTATGTCCATGTCCATGACACATTGAAATAGGATGGCAACAAAACACTTCACATACTCATCTTAAGGCAACGTCACATCTTAATTCATGTGTCCTTAAGGCAAAACAAAACGCTTAGGGCAACCTCAAAGAGAGGAACGAGTGGTCCTCTTGGGCCATATAATAAAAGTGGTCTACTTTAGAAATGGTTCACAAAACATCCAAAATGAAATTACTGTAAGAAAACTAACCCTCCTAACCTAAATGAAAGGATGCGTAAATTAATGGACCCCCCCATGGTGCATTTTGACACAGTGAACTATCGTTCTAAAATATTTTTTTATTCGAAGTATTTTATTAAATTTATTTTATATTTATATTTATCAACACTATTATTATTATTTTTTAGTTCCACAAACTTAGGGTCGTTACAATTTTAGATAGAGCACAATAGTTTTTTCATTAATTTTTATTTGATGGGATAATGATCAAAGGAAAGGGGAAATAATGGTTCCGTACATTCCGTAAATTGATGATCCATCTATGGAATAAATGGCTTAGATCTCTCACCCTACAAGTCACCTTTGATCGACGGTTCAGATTCAATCTAGTGAGACAAGCAATGAAAACCCTAGACCACTCTCTCATTTTCTCATGCACCTCTCTCTCTCCTCTCTCATGCCCCATTCTCTCTCTCTCCCTCATTTTTAATGGGATTTGGCTTTACCTCGAGCTGAATTTGCATTCAATAGGTTCCATAATCAAACTACGAACAATGATGGTAGTCTTTATCATCTATTGTTTCACTATGTGTTCTTACAGGGTGTATAGAGGTCTGTTGCAAGGCGGTATGGTAAGCGTTTCACCCTGGTATTTTTGTTGGTATTTTGTTCATATTATATTTAGAAGCTGATTGGTCTTTTTAATATTTAGACTTCTATTTTCTTCACAATAATTTGATTTTTATGGGAGAAACGAAATAGGATAATCTTTAAATCCAAGGTCTACCATAAAGGAATAAATTGTTAAGCAGATTTCTTCTCATATTAAGGAGATGACATATACGAAAAGTGAGCTTTTCATTTGTCAGAGAGCAATCATCGATAATCTCGAGATAACATGGTGTTAGCAGAAACCCAGATCCACTATTCCGATGGCTTGGTCTTATCTTGAGCCCCAACATTTCAAGTTGAATATCGATGGAGCGTCTTGCCAGAGCCCAAGTTTAGCCGGTACTGGTGGTGTTATCAAAAATAGTAATAGTGCTTTTGTCACTGCCTTTGCAATCTATTTGATATTGCCTCGAACAATTACGTAGAGTTTCTTGCTTTTGAAGATGAACTTCATCTGTATACCCAGAAGGATTGCTTTCCGATTCATCCTTACTGATGAATATCATTCATGATCATTGTCGTTTCCTGTGAAAGTTACAGATGGTTGGAACTTATTGTCAGATGAGACTTTCGAATCATACACGGTCAATTTCCCATATTTTTTGTGGGGCCAACATTGTAGCCAATGCCCCTACTAAGAAAGTTTCTTTTAGTTATGAAGCTACTATTTGGTGCTCTCGACCGTCAGACTTTATTTGTCTGCCTTTACATTGAAAACTTGATTAAAAATATGGGACTTTTCAGTAATAATTATAAAAATTTGAACTTACACAAAAATTAAACATTCAAGGAATTTATTAGGAAATTACATGATTCTATTGCAAAACCGATATAAGTATGATATCATTATTTTAAAGTTGAAGTGCGTCGGTGAAGAAGAATCAGGTGCATCGTGTTCCCCATTAGAGAGAGAAAGCAAACGGTTCCAAAGAGAGGGAAAGAAAATTTTTAAATAAAAAAAATGCAGCAAAAAAGCGAAGAATGCATGTCAAGAAAAGCTTCTCATTTAGGGTGACGATTTTTGTCAAAATCTTGAGATCGTTTAGATTAAAGAATTTGGGAAGATTTTGAAAATAAAATATCAAGTGTGGTCAAAATTGAAAAGAGAAGGAAAAGAGGAAGAAAGAATCACGCCAAAGAATAGCAAGATTGAAAACTATACTTGGGAGGATTGAAAACTATACTAGGGAGCATAATTTATTTCTACTCCCTTCATTAGAAGACCAACTTGAGAGGGTTTTTTTAATCTGAAATTTTGTAAACTACTTAAAAATTATTATTATTTTTTTTAAAAAAATGAAATTTGAGTTTTTCTAACACTTAGATCTCACCATCTAAAAAAAGTACTATTATTCTAAAAAAAAAAAATTGAAATTTGAGTTTTTTTAACACTTAGATCTCACCATCTTAAAAATTGAATGGTATTTATTCAATCTCGAGACTTTTTTTTTTTCAAGTACATGGAAGGTACAATTTGGAAAATTAATTTTTATATTAAGAGTAATATATGGGTTGAAGAGGTTAATCCCCAAGATTGGGGCTCCTAAAACTAATTATAAGTAAGATTTTAGGCGAGGCTTTCTACTCCAATATTTTGTCATATATAATTTTTCCTCAAGTGTTTGGACTCGTCTACCAACGAGAAGAGATCCCCGTGCTTTCAAGTTTGAACGCAACATCGCGCACCCTCCAATCTCCTTTACCTCCTCTCCGAATCTACGGTTCAGAACCATCCATGTCAGCCATCCTCGCACTTCCCTTCCAGCCAATGATAACCCGTCTACTGAAAGTATATATTCAAAACGCATTCGCTTCCTCTTACTATCGTTTCTTCTTCTTCTCTCTGCAATAACGCCCTCGCCCTCTTTTTCACTTTCTACTTTCTCTCTTTATAGTATTCATTTTCTCTCTCTAAGCACTGCCAAAATCATCAATGGCGCCCAAAGCTGAGAAGAAGCCCGCTGAGAAGAAAGTTGCAGAGAAAGCCCCCGCTGAGAAGAAGCCCAAGGCCGAGAAACACCTTCCTTCGAAAGAGGGAGGAGCTTCCGATAAGAAGAAGAAGAGGTCAAAGAAGAGCATCGAGACCTACAAGATCTACATCTTCAAGGTCTTGAAGCAGGTTCACCCTGATATCGGTATCTCCTCTAAGGCCATGGGCATCATGAACAGTTTCATCAATGACATTTTTGAGAAGCTAGCTCAGGAGGCCTCGAAGCTTGCTCGATACAACAAAAAGCCCACCATCACTTCTAGGGAGATTCAGACCTCTGTGCGTTTGGTTCTTCCTGGTGAGCTTGCTAAGCATGCAGTTTCAGAGGGTACCAAGTCTGTCACCAAGTTCACCAGCTCTTGAATGTATAGCTTGAATTTGAATTCTAGGGTTTCTCTGTCTCTAGGTTTCTTTTTTGGGTTCATGATATGGCGTTTCTAGGGTTTGTTTAGTTCATCACTGATCTATCCTTGAAGATCAAAGTTTTTCATTTAATTGATGGAATGTAAAGTAGTAATGGCACATTTTGGGAATTATAATGATGATCAGTGAATTTCTTTCTTATTTTGTGTTTTTTGCATTGTTCAACTGCAGTTCTTATTTATTTTTTATCTTCAATTTAAGTGCCTTATGGAATATTGTTATAAGTTCCTCGTGTTTCGCTTTAATTTCCATTGTGTTTCTCTCTCTAATTGTTCTTCTTTTCTATCTTCATTTTGCTTTGCTATCTTTGTTTTCCACATGCATTGAAGAGAAGCAGAACAGATCCCATAACCACATGTGCTTGAACAATCTTCTGTTAGTTTCTGTTGGTTTCTGTTAGTTTCCGATCTGAGTCCCTTTTTGTTTTTCATTTTATTCCTCGTACATTATAATTTTTCTGTTTTTTTGGCACTTTTCTTTTTAGTTTCCTGTTTATTTTGCTTCAAATCAGTGGAAGAGATCGTCTCATGTTGAATTATAAATTATACATATTTTATTTATACGTATGAAATACCTGTTTTTCATTTTATACATATAAAATAAAATGCGAGAAAATACCTGGTGAAAATACCTATTTCGAACCCCCCATTGTACGTATCTCAAAACATATTATTCTCCTGCGCATTGTTCATTTACTCTCTCAGATAAAATTCCATTTATAATTAATTTTAGGATTCCCGATTTTGGAAATGTAAGCTTTTTGAATTATTGATTCTTTCAATTTTTTTTGTTTGAGAATAATCATTTATTGGTTCTTAAGTGGTTCCTAAACTTTCAGTTTGAAGAAAAATCTTTCCCAATTAGGTCTTTGAGTGAGGGAGTAGATGTACACTATGGTCCAGTGTATGTGCTCTGTACTCATATAGAAGGAACAAAAGTGAGAAATCAAATTAAGGAGATGATTGTACGTCTTCTTAAATTACAGCAAGATGTACTTTCAAATATTATCAAAGATGTCATTTCAGTGCCAAAAATCCTTGTTATGGTTTGAAAATTTATTTTAATATTAAATTATAAAATTTAAAATCCAAGAAAATGGACTTTCAGATTGGAAGAAGCACAAATTTCTTGTTTTTGAAAATGGACTTTCATATTGGAAGAAGACTAATTTCTTGAATTTGAAATCATTTTTTATTCGTACCCATATTATAATATCTGCAGCAAAATGAACTTTCAGATTGGAAGAAAAATTCTTGAGTGTACTTGTTAAATAAAATAAAAGCGTGGGTTGGGAGAATAAGGTCATCTTATTTTATAGTAGACCTCTTGCTGGTTTATTATGAATCTATATTTCACCAACTAACTCATCTAATTTCATGGCCACCTTCTCCTTTCAGCAGAGTCCCCTATAAGCTTCTTTCACTTCTCTTTCATCCCTCTTCTTAAACTCCATAACTTTCTCAAACTCTCTCTTTAACTCTTCCTCTTCATCATCCTTTCTCTCCCTCCATTCTCTCTCTCCCCTCTTAATTTTTTCTTCCTCTCTCTATCCCACCCACATTTCTCTCTCTTCCCCTCCCCCCCTCCATATGCATGCAAATACATTAACTCTCCTCTCTCTCTTCCTTGTTGAGTGCAGTTTGTATAGAGCCGAGGCTCTAAACATTCAAAGTAAAGTGCACTTTTAAATAATGTCGAGAAATGTGGTTTCAATATTGAAAATATTTATGATAGCCTTAAAATATATTTTCATTTCGAAATATAACATTTAAAGCTTAAAAAATAGTGTAGATCAAACAAATCTATGAAAATTCGAAAAATATTGAAAATTGACTATCAAAAAATGCATTACAAGATGCAATATTTCTAAAATCTTGAAAATTGATGGTCCATGTATCTTGATGTCAAGATGATCAGTTTGAAGATGTTTGGGCATCAAAACGTCTTTTAGTGAAATTTTTGAAGTGGGCTCTAATTTGATTGTTTAGAGCTCTATACAAACTTTTTCGTTCTTAATAAAAAGCATATTTATAATAATTTTACATTATAAATAACACCTTTTTTGCATTTTAAATTATACTTATTTTCCATTATACCTATTTTACATTATAATCATAGTTAGAAACATGAAAATAAGTGTAATCCAAAATAGGTATAAAAATCGTACTTATTTTGATAATTGTAAGTTATAATTATCAATTTAAATTCATTTATTTTTATTAATAGATTTTTTAAAATTTGACTTTTTAAAACTAGTAAAACAAAGTTATTCTAAATATGATTTATACTTGATGAGAATTTTTATTTTTAATATATATTTTTTAGCTTTTTAAATAAATGTTTGGAAATACTATAAATGCAAAAGAAAAAGCATACAATGAGATCATTTATCTTTAGTATAAAATGACCACAATTAATCTTGTCCATTGGATGTGAAATTAGATGGCTAAGCTCAAACATCGAAAGAAATTTTTTCGAATTTGTAACACACCCAAGCCATCATCATATTTCACATGGGACGGTTGTAAGAGATTGTGACTTATTTATATTAAAGGTAAATGGTCTCATTGTATACAATCCCAATTAAATAACTTACTAAATTGGATATGATTTTTCAATACATATTATTTTTATTAGATACTCCTTTTTAGCCACGGATGTGGTTTGCATAAGATTGTAACCTTAATCAATCAACCTAACGTACACCTAATCATAAGATGAAATTTTAGTATTAAAACTTCTTAAGATGGTTGGAGAATCCATTTTCATCCCTAATTATAAAATTTTAAAATTTAAAAACAGATCAAATCAATTAGATCTATAAACACATAAAAATCTTGAAAATGGACTGTCCAAATAAGCTGTTGCAAGATGCACTATTTTTGTAAATCAAAATCTTTTTTGTTTTTTATATTCATACATCTTGATGTCGAGATGATTTATTGGAGGGTTTTGCTACATGAAAGCAACCTTTTCCAATGAATTTTTTCGCATTTAATTTAATGAATGAAGGACTCAATTGTTATTTTTTCTAAAGAAAATGGTCATTTTATAAAAATTCTCAAGTAATTATTGTTACTTTTGCCACATGCTTCAGTTATTTTGTCTTGGAAATTTGTACGACGTGCTCGTGTAAGAGTATATTGTACACGGGTGCAGTTGGCATACAGATGCATATGTAGGCGTAGAGGTAAGGTGCACCTTGAAATTTTATCACGGTGTATAATTGTGATGTAAAATGTTCTTAGGATTATCTAAAAATCTATTTTTATATCTAATTATAAAATTTGAAATTTAAAAAATGGTTAAAATCAAGTGGATCTATAAACATATGAAAATCTTGAAAATGGACGGTGTAGATAATATGTTGTAAAATGCATTATTTATAAGACTTAAAATCTTTTTATTTTTCATACATACATCTCGATGTCAAGATGATCGATCAAAGGGTTTTTCAACATTAAAACTACCTTTTATGATTGATTTTTTAGGGGCATCCGTAGTTCTACATTATAAGGTAGCATCTATATAAACTTTTTCCATTATACAATTACTCTATCAAAAATGGAAAATGTTTATATAAGGGTGAGGCCCTAAATATCAAATTAAGGTGCACATCAAAAATTCATTATAAAAGGTTGCTTTAATGCCCCAAAATCCCCAAATTGATAATCTCAATCTCAAGATGTATAAACACGAGAAAAAATGGATTTTAAGTATTGAAAATAGTACACATTGTAATGAATTTCTAGATTCGTCAATTTTCAAGACTTTCAAGTGTTTTATAGATATGTTTGATCCATAGTATTTTTGAAGCTTTAAATTTTATAATTAGATACATAAGTAAATTTTGAAACTATCACGAATATTTTCAGCTTTGAAACAATATCTTTCGATAATATTTAAAGTTGCGCCATTGTTTGGAACGTCAGCATTATACAAACTACACCCAGTAGAAAGCAATAAGTATTTTTGAGATCTAATATTTAGAAATTCACTTTTAATCACAAATAAATACTTTTAGTACCGAAAATTAAACTTTTCATTTTCTAAAAATTGTATATATTATATATATATTTTTTATTCAAAGTAAATATACCCAGGGATACGTTTTTGCCACGTGACATAGGAATGAATGCTATAGGTTTTTTTCTTTGGAAATTTTGTACAACATGCTTCTATGAGAGTATACTGTACAATTACTCTACCAGAAAGTGATGATTATTTTTGAGATGTAATATTTAGAAATCCGCTTTTAGTAAAAAATATAAATTTTAGTACGAAAATTTAAATTCTTTATTTTTTTAAATTCTATGTATATTTTCAATCCAAATCGGGTGTAACCTAAAGAACACAACTAACTTGATAGTTGTATATACACTTACAATATGGTCCGTATGATAGTTTAACATGCGTATTATTTATCCTACCCAATATTCAAACCATTTTTTTGAATGCGACGTGTTGTCCAACAACTCTAAGCGGTAATTTTCGGATTAGATCGGAACTGACGAGTTTCAGTTTTCGGTGGTTTTGGTGATAAGATGGTATTAAAAAAAATAAAAAATTAATATATATATATATATATATATATATAAATTTTAAAAGTAAAAAATTTAATTTATAATATATTTTTGAATATTATTTACAGTATGGTAAAGATTAAAAATTGTTTTAATCATTAATACTCTTATATTTTCCAATCTTTTTAAAACTACTTCTAGACACAAATGGATTCTTTAAAATCATTTTTTTATATTAATTTTCAATTTCATTTGAATGTGTTTTGTTTTAATCTATTTGTATGTTTTTCATATTTTAGTAAATTTTTTTTCAAGACTTTTTTGACCGCCCAGGATTTGTCCGATCAGAGTAGTTGAATTGGACGGTTTACCGATTAAGCCAGTTAAACCGCTTCCAAAGTCATGTCCAGTCAACCGTTCTGGTTCGATTTTGTGAACATTCACCCAAACCAGATAGCATTTTATATAAAGAAGATATTTGAGTGCTGAGCAATGGGATTATAACCTAGTTAAATTTTGGGCTTGGGCTTGGGACTCAAACCTTGCTAGAGCTGCATCAGTGGAATCGCGCAAGTAATACAATTGCCCAAAAAAAGGCTAAATTTATTTAAATGAAAT